CCTAATTTAAGTTTTTTTAAATTATACAAGTACTAAATTTTTCTTATGCAAAAGGTTGTATAAACTAATAGTATTAGTTACTAAAAACTTCCAAGGTTCATTATTACACTATAGGTATAAGCAAAATAGGCCAAAATACCCATGCACGAAAAATACCACTTTTAGTACATTTATAAAAAATGCGGCAACCATAACTGAGCGCGACGCACTAATACCATGACAAAATGAGACTGTGTTGGTGTGCCCAGCTATGCTGTATACGTATAAGCGCTGCGACGCAGACGCTACTCGCGAGTAGCGTTTTGCCCAGCTATGATCTAAATTATTTGAAAAACCTCGTATAAAACTACATTTACCTTTGATTTCGCTTGTGGGTCGTTTTGATGATCCTAGTTTAGGTCAAATCTAGTAGAAATTTAAATCTCCGCCTTCCTGTGGACTCACGATTGAGAGAATACAAAGGTTGCGCCGATCTCGGACCGCTATTCCTCTCTTAACGAATTTGACAGAATCGTTGGTTGCATGACGTCACACTTGTGCAACTTGTTTACGTTTTCCTTGCAACATTTTTTCTTCTTCTTCCATTCTTGCTCACGTTTTGGCATTTCTCTCTCGCAATTGCACCAGTGTGACGTCACACAAGAGTTATTCTAAAAAATTCTCTCTGATCGGCGCAATTTTGTATTCTATCATTCTTGCTGTGGAGCTATCGAACTGAAATATTTAGTCTGTTCCTTTGAATTTGGCTGAAATATCATTAAATAATTATTAAAATCTATACATATTTAAATATTTCGTTGTTTACTTCCATTTTTTTTCAAATATAAGGTTCTTTGCTTTCACCGCTTTCTGTTTTTGTTTGCACATGCAAATCAGCTGATCGTTTGACACTTACAGGAAAAAAACACCGGACTAAATCCTGTAACTTCTGACTAGGAACAGTTGCTCAGTTACTCTCTCAAATGTGTTCCCACTTACAGGTTTTATGTCAATAGGAACGACTTCCTGTAAGTTCTGACTAAATCCTGTAAACCGGACTGCTATTGGAACAGACTAATTATGTAAATGCAAAGATGGCCGCCGCTGCAAAATAGCGGATTTAATATTTTTCCACAACCCTCTAAAAATGGGCATCAAATTAATGGACTTGACAAATAGAAAATAGAATGCAGTACACTATGAAAAAATTCAAAGTCCAAGATGGCCGCCACCACAAAATGGCGGATTACATTTTTTTCTATCCGCTCAATGTGGCTATAGGAAAACAATTAATTCTATTTTTTGAACAAAACATTAAGTCCAAAAAATATTTTTTATAGCAGAGTGTTCTAATACGAATAAAACTTAATGCAGGTTATATTCCGTTTAACATGGATTGTGGTGGTGTATGATAAAGGACTTATACAGCGTTTAAGCGGGCTTTACAAGGTCATGCAATTTTACAGTGTTCCACTATTGATTCTACGGGTTTGTGAACATTTTGGGTAAACGAATTTTTACACAAATATTAATTGTACGTATTAAATTTTTAAGTGTTTTCCATTCCATGATAATCGTCAATATAAACAAACACTACTTAAAACAATAGTTAATTAACAATGAAAATATAATAAAAAGAAACTTAAATTGATATTTATTTTAGCTGCTTAAACAATCACATTTTAAAATAAATAAAATTCAGTTTAGCTCCATATGGAAAGAACTTAGAAATATTGATGTACGTACATATGTATATATATCTGTGCATACATAAATAATGGGCCGTATGAATAAAAATAAGCAATTGCTTTTTCTTAAAATTCCAGATCTTTTACTCAATTTATTCAAACAAAATTCAAGTAAAAGGTATGAAATTTTAAGAAAAAGCAATTGCTTAGTTTTAATTCATACGGCCCAATAAATATAAGTTATTTTGAGTCCCCTCACACACACACGCAGTATCATACGATTAAGCTCAAGCGTACTGCAGCCAACATATGATACCATAAAAACAATAACAAATACTATTTCACTATCAATAAATATCTAAATATACATATGTGTACATAATCTATATACATGTTTTTGCCAACTGCTTATCAATTAGCATATTATTTTGCATTCTCGCTACTTTCAGTTGCTGCCGGCAAGCCATTGAACGCTCAGTGATTTGAGGCGAGTCAAACAGAGAGGACATATAAAATTAAACCGGCAGACAATTAGCGCAGTCATATCAAAATGCTCTCTAAGGTCTTCCGTATGGTAATCCTAGGTGCACCCGCCTCAGGCAAAGGTACAATCTCCAAACGCATAGTGAAAAAATTCGGTTTCGTGCACATTTCTCCAGGTGATATGCTACGATTAAATGTACTACATGCCACCGATATCGGCAAAAAGGCGAAAAAGTACATGGATGAGGGCAAATTGGTACCGGATGAAATAGTCATGAAATGTGTGCTGAGTCGCATAACCGAGGTGGGTAACAAATCATGGATGTTGGATGGATTTCCACGCACACTCGCACAGGCTGAACGATTGGCGGCCAGCGAACCGCTGCATGCGGTAATAAATTTGGATGTGCCAAACGATGTGATTATAGAACGAGTGAAAGGACGTTGGATACACTTGCCATCGGGACGTGTGTACAATGTGGGCTTCAACGATCCCAAGGTGCCGGGTAAGGATGATGTGACGGGCGAGGATTTGGTGCAGCGCGATGATGATAAGCCAGAAGTGGTCGCACAACGCCTGCAAGTGTACGAAGAGATGTTACGCCCAGTTATGGACTACTATCAGAAACAAGATTTGATCACCAATTTCAAGGGACGCACCACAGCGGAAATATGGCCACAGGTAGAGAAATTTTTGTTGGAAAAAACCAGGGCAGCGGTGGCGAAAAGGTTGTAGAACAGCTGAAGAAAAGCGTAATTATGTATGTAGCTTGAGTGTTTGCACAAAGCCCGTTTACTTACTTAAAAAAAAAAAAGTGAAATCAAGAACAATAATTGTAACATTTTTGCTGAAAAAAAATGTATTTTTATTGTCATTTAAACAGCGATAAATATGTATGTAGATTTAGCGCAAAATATCATTTTTTTTTTAATTGTAAGAGTGTATGTTTATTGTAAGCCATAAATAGACGTGTTGTTGAAATTGAACAATAACTATGTATAAAAAGTTTACACCATGTATATACATATGTATGTAGATTTACATAAAAACAATAAAGTAGAGAAAAATAACGCCTTCGATTGCTTAATAGACTGCTGCTTATAATTGAATTAACTGGTTTTAATTGTAATTTAGGTTTTGCTCACGCCGGCAGCAATTGATGCTAATAAAACTAATTAACATTACTACTCCATATGTATGCATTCGTCTCACTTTAAGCCCTTTCGTAAATAAAGTCATATGCGATGCATGAATGTAAGGAAAAAAGTATGTGCCTAATTTTAATTAAGCGCTGATAAGGTTTCACCATATTAGCGCCAGCCAATCACGACAGCTGCTACGAACAGCCACCATGCATTCATCTATCCATTTCTACCCAGCGAATTGGTTAAGTCCTTTAAAGCCTAATAAAGTGGTAGCTCTATTATGAGGCTATTTAGAAAGTGAAATTGTAACCGTATGCAGCACTCACTCCACAAAGTAGCACGCATGCAGGCATAAACTAAATTAAATTAATCATAAATAATTGGTGTGGATTTTTTGATAAGTCAAGCATAGTTAATACCTGACGATTGTTAAATTTGCTTAGTGGAGATAACATTTTTAAATGAGCCGTAACGCGTTTGTTATATATCTGGCACTCTGGTGCTTTATCTGATTGATAACATCTCTTCTTTTTTTAAAGTTCTTTTCCATGATACATTGATTGAATGCGTGAAAGCGATGTTGAAATCAATTACCAATTAAAAGGTAAGTGGAAACAATATACACACAACATGTTGGGGAATTGCAAGTTCAAAGTGCGAGTCACATTGACGTATGTACATTTTGTACATATGTACATACATACATGTACGCATTCACCTTCAATAGCAGCTTTTGAACAACGACGGGATTGGAAAAGCTTATCAGCAGATGTGTTTTCGTACATGATAACAATACATTTGTTTATATTGTTGTTGTTGTTGTTGCTTACTTAGCTTGGTTATAGCTGCAGCTGGTTGTTTTTTGTTTTCATAACAAAGGTCACATAAAATATATCTATTTATTAATAAGTATTATTCGTAGGTTACTCAACCTTAGAATAATTACAGAACTAGAAATAAGTAAATATATAATTTTGCATCTGTTCTCATATTTAACGTGAGTGATTCTGGCTCATGTTCACGCACGCCTACGTTGATGGTTTTGTAAATCACGCGCCCTCACGTTCTGTTATATTTTTTTCAATCACGTTCACGCACGCTTTTTGACGGATTTTTTTTTTTTTTAATTAAAACTATATAAATAGTATTTCACATAAAAAGGCTTTAGGTATTGCAACAAAAGCTTGGCCAAACGCCTTACCTGGGATGAACGTAACGTATACTTGCGCCTGTTCTTTAGTTGAGTTCTATGTATAAAAAAGATCGGCGAAACCGATCATTATATACCCGGCGCACATTATTAAATATCGTTTTTATGATTTATTGAAATAATTGGACCAAGTTTGGTGGAAATCGGTAAGGCGGTTTTCAATATACACTTACGTAGTAGGTAATCAATCATCTTGTGTCTTGTTAAGTGATTGTTGTACGTTGGCGTCTGAGCTTATTAAAAATCGGAGTTTTCGTATTTCCGAAATGTACCGTTATATGGTAAGTGGCTGTAATTTTAGTCCGATTTCAAAAAAACCAGCATATTGCTTTTTCACGCCAAGGTTGATAAATGTGCCGAGTTTGCTAGAAATTGATAAACCGGTTACCGAAATACACATATGTAGGCATAAGTGGGCGGTGCCACACCCATTTTCCAAAAATTTCCCTAATTATAATTTTCTGCTAAGAGGTTATTGCATATATCGATTTTGAGTAAATTTCATAACTGTCTTATTTTATGCTAAATTTCTACTTCGCATACCAACTTTCAACAATTTGGATCCAGTATTTGCGGAAATATCGTAGTTTTTGCATATTTCGAAAATACCGTTATATGGGAGGTGGGCGTGGTTATTGTCCGAGTCTGCCCATTTTCAATCCCAACCTACCTTGGATGAAGGAAAACATACTTACCAAATTTTGTTGACATATCTCAATTTTTTCTCGAGTTACCGTGTTCACGGACAGACGGACGGACGGACAGTCACCGCTTAATCGATTTCTATTTTCATTCTGATCATTTATATCTATCTCGATTCGTTTTGGCTGTTACAAACAACCGTTATGTGAACAAAATTGTAATACCCTTGTGCACAAGTGCGCTCGGGTATAAAAATTGATCAGAATCGGCGTATTCAAATATGTATGTATGTATACCCCGAACCGACAGGGAACTTTTTTCCTACTGTACTTTTGTAAAACTACAGACGACTAGATATTCAGTAAACGAAGTCGCGGATTGTGAGAGCACTTGGTAGATATATTTAACACAGGCGGTGCAAACAATCTACGAAATAAATTCTAGATCTATGCGGTTCCTTCGACAGATAATATAATGCTGGATTTCACCTAGGCATTAAGTGGCAAAAATTACAAATGGCAAAGTTGGGCATTAAAAAATAATTGTCTCATTACGTTAAGAAAAAGTGTTTAAGTTTATTTCCACATGGCATTTTTTTAAATGGCATACATTTTTTGTCATTTCAATGCCTAGTGGAAATTCGGCATACCTTTAGGCCGGATAAAATTGCCAGAAGTTGTCAATTATCTTTTGTAAAGAGAAACTGAACAGAGCCAGAAACAATTGCCTAATACTGCTTAAAATTATCTTCCAAAAGCTTCCCAGTTTGTAAGTTGGGGGTTTAACGAACATTCTCATATTTGACGCCAAAAAAGGTAAAAGGGAATTTCATTTCCTCTTTAAACTGTAAACAGGATAAAATTTAAAAACTCAAAAAAAAAAAACGACCAAAATACTTTGGCTAAAAGACTCCCTGGCACAATAATCCCACCATGAAAGAACCCATACAACAAACCGAAAATGTGTAGGGTACATTGCTTCACAAAACAACAAAAAATACACCTGTCAGCCGCTGCTTCTTGCCGGTAGCGATCATTCACAGTAAAATCAAAACAAGAAAAAATACAAATTGACGTAGCTGAAGAGTTATAAATGACGTTATCGAGGGCAACAAAATAAACAAAACAAAAGAGCAATTGCAACGTACAAAAACAATGAAGAAAGCAAAACTTAAAAAAATTTTAATCAAATTTATTCAACTAAAATAATCTTAACAATTGTCTGCAAATATTTTGACATTCAACTCGATTTGAGTATCTTATTCCAACGAAATGTGAAATGAAAGTGGAAGCTACAAAACCGTCATTGCTTTAATTGGATCCATGGCAGTTCTTTGTTCTCCACTCATCATAATGAATTGGCTGTGAAACTCACAAAACAGAAGCGAACCAATGCAAATATGCACCACAAAAGAAGCTTTAAAAGAAAGAGTTGAAGCGACTGAGTAAAACGAGCACACATTAATACATTACTAAAGTGTAAATGATTCAAGATTTCTACGAAACTTGGACCAGTGGAGATTTCTTACTCGATTACAAAGCGAGTGCATATGTATGCACATATCTACATACATACACATGTACATACATACATATATGTTTATAGAAGTAAAAATGTATTTCTATACTGTATATGAATGCATATAAAAATAATAGTTATGTATATACTTTCAGTTAAAAGTTCTACTATTTTGATGCAAAAATAATTTCCCAAAATTGTACTCACCCCGTATTTTTGTGCGCTTGGCTAGATTTAACCAAATTTCGCCTTTTATTGTTTCACCCGCAGAATACACCTTTTCCGGGTTGCTTAGTGTGATGCGTAACTTCTCGTTTTCCATTTCGTATTCACTGCTTTTTTTCACTTTTTCAATGAGCTTTTCTTTCAATATCTACCAGCAAATCATTTATCAAACTTACTAATTTAAAACCGTGGCATTGGTTAGTTCAGTTCATTTTTCTATAAGTTCGTTGCCTAGCCCTAATCTTCTTTTGCCAGCAACATCGCAAACGACCAAGTAAATGTGCTATTTAGCCTAATAATGCTCTCGATATTTGGTATTTTGTGACTTTTCTTTTTATATTTTTATATTATCCAAAAATAAAACACTAATGCTATGCAAAGCAAAAGCATGCACGCCGCGCTTCTCCTCAACTTTCTTTTCGCACACACTTGCTTGAGTTTTGTCACCCTACGCTCCGCTAAAAGTTTCTTGCTATTGGGTTCCTCTGCTGGTCCATGTCTACTCCTTCAATACATTTTGCCAGTGGCATTTATTTGTGCACACAATTCCTAGCCACTGTTCAGCACTTTTTCTTCCATGCGCAAACATCCAAATCCACTTTGTGCAGTTTTCTCTTCTCCAGCACTAACGCCAAATAAACAATAAATACCGAAATTCCCGAATCTTTGTTCTTTTCTATTCTGTGCTCCACTCACGATTCGGCTCCACACCTATTTACCGCTACAATTGCACTTTCTATTTTTCCTATTTCCATTTTGCATCAATGGTGGCGATGGTGGCGCCGCCCGCTCAAGAACTCATCGAAAAAGTGGAAAACTTCTTCATTCACAGTTTTCTCCACAAAGGTAAAAGAGTACCATTCTTCAGATATTTATTGCCCTCTGCAATGTGTGTGCGCGAAAGAGATCAATAGATGTGCATGTTGGCAATCGGAACAGCTGTATTTTCTGGTGCTGCCACCTTGGCAAAAACTGCTAATTAATGTTTGGGTACTTGTAGTGTGGAGTTGGATTTTTTTCCTTGTTTGAATTTTAAAACCGCCTTATCTAAAGATCAATGATCGCTAAACAAAGTTGTTTCAAAAAATATCTGGAAAACGGGTACGATCATTCCTCTTCTATCCAGGTCGAAACTAGCTTTCTTTCACCTGAGGCATAACTCATAGATACCCGTGAACGAACTGCCACAATTCGCATAAAGGAAAAATTTAACAACATCAGCCTAATTTATGTGGGTGCACGCCCTGACCGAAGCGAAGGACGATGAGACTAAAGAGTTTATATAACCAGCTATGAACTCTGCTCCTGCCGCGATTTTAAAAATCTTGCTTGGTGACTTCTACGCCAAGGTGAGAAAAAAAGGCATATTTGATCCAACAGTAGAAAAATATAGGCATCATGACAATACCTCTGATAACAGAGACCGCCTTATCGACTTCGCCGCGGCACGAAACATAGTAGTTAGTAGTACCAGACACCAGCATCGAAGCATCCATAAAGCCACTTGGTGGGTGTTCCCTGATCAAAGAACGAAGAACCAAATTGATCATGTTGTGATAGACAGAAGATATGTATTCTTCGAGCGTTCTAGGCGTGCGCACTATCCAACATCGCCATGAGCTAACATCGACTCGCATCCACGACCCGCATGGGAATCTGTGCAATCAAGAACGTGCTTGTTGTGGAGTTGTAGTCGAAGAGTGCCGCGCTGCTACGGTTGAAAAATATGCAGCATACAAAGCTATCCTGCAGCCAATGGCGATAAGCGAGACAAATGAGCGACACCGGGAAAAAACTGGGGAAGAGAGACGACTCCTCAAGAGGAAGAAAGGGCGGCAGAAAGGCGTGAGTGTGAAGAGCTCGAGATGCTAACAGGCTCTAATGAGGCTCGAAAATTCTATCGGAAAACAAAGCAGAAATCAAATGGGTTTAAGACCTAAAATTGAAACCAGGCTTAATAGGCAGCATGGAGAGGTAGATTACTACCTGACTCAAATCATCAGTGGGCGTGGCTGTTTTGAAGCATACCTACAACGCCTTGGACTCACACCAAACCCTTACTGCGAGCAATGCAGACCAGCAGTTACCGCAGACCCAGAGCACGTATTCTTCAAGTGCCCCGTTTTAGCTCCATGAGGTACGCAGTTAACCGCAAGCTTGGTTTGTGCGTAACACCAGAGAACCTGATTTCGTTAATCCAAAAGAGCAGGGAAGCCTGAAAAGATGTCGGCCATATAGCTGCCCATCTACCAGCTCCTAAGCAAGTTTGTCTATAAGAAGTTATCGCGGAATAAGCCTTTTTAATATTGCGTTCCTGTCGACGATACTGAAAGATCTTCCCGAACCAACTGTGGGCTTCAGACCTGGTAAGTCCACTATGGACAAGATTTTCACAGTTCATTTAATCCTGGAAAAGACACTAGTTAAACAAATCGACACAAACCGTCTTTTTGTCGATTTAAAGCCGCTTTTTATAGCATGAAGTGACGCTGGCTGTACGACGCCATATCTAAATTTTGTATCCCCGCGAAACTGAAACGGTTATGGGGAGTAACGTTGAATACAACCTTCAGCTCCGTTCAAATTGGGAAGGACCTCTCCGCGCCGTTTGAGACCAATCAAGGTTTAGACAAGGAGGTTCACTCTCGTGGGCCTTTTCCAAATTGACGCTGGAAAGCATCATAAGAGCCGCTAATCTGAATCGCGTCGCCACCATACCCACCACCCGTATGACAGCAGCACGATGATACTGGCGTATGCTAATGATATCGATATCGTCGGCCAGAAACTGAGGGACATAAGATCAGCATATTCCAGCTTAGAAAAGGAAACTAATAGGGTTGGTTATGCGGTGAACATGGACAAGACAAAGTACCTCCTGGCAACACACAAAAAGTCCTCAGGTTTTGTGACACACTTCCATGTTGACAGTTATAATTTTGAAGCAATGAAGAAGTTTGTCTACCAGCATAAACAACATCAACTCTGTCATCCTGAAGATCTAGCGAAAGTAGCTCTTGTGCTCCGAAATGTACTACTTTGAGCTCGGTAGGCAATTGATTAGTAGAGCCCTTTCTCGACAAACAAAATTTGCCCTCTACAAATTTCTCATCATGCCCGCTATTTTATATGCCGCGGAAACGTGGACGAATAAAGATGAGAAGGTTTTGGTGGTTTTAGAGAGATCTATTCTGTTCGCGTAGGCGACGAGTACCGAAGAAGATGGAAGGACGAACTGTACGAGATTTTTATAGAGATGGTCATAGTTAAGCGAATTAAAATTCAGCGCTACGTATATTGTATGCATGGATGACGAGGATCCGGTGAATAGATCCTTCGACTCGGCACTCATGAATGGACAAAGAAAGAAAGGGCGCCCACGAACACAATCGAAGGACCTGTCTGCACGCGGGATATACAACGGGCGCAACCCCGATAAGGAGAGCCATGATTGGCGAAGTCTTTTGGACTCGGCCCAAACCGATGAATGGTTGTAGAGCCAAAGAAGCGCAAAGAGGTTTCACTTCAGAAATTAAGTGAGGAGTTCTCTTAGGTTACTCATACAACATGGACAACACTATGAAAGTTAGTCAGCTAATGGTAGTGAAAAACAATGAAGGAATTATTGGGGGAGTGGTAAAATTAAAGACCTCCTGTTTACATACTCTTCGGGACCACTATAGCGTTTATTTCGGACAGATGTAGATAAAATTAAGGGATCAGTCGACTTGGTTGCCACAACTTGGTGCGTATTTTGATAAGGCACCAGTGTTGCCAGGGACACATTTTTTTTCCTACCAAAACTTCCTACCAAAAAAAAAGAATCAATCAAAACCTACCAACATTTTTTTAATGTCAAGCTTATTAAAAATGTAGACAACATAGCATGTAGAAAAATTAAAACACAGCTAGTTAAATAAAAAAAAAATAACTACGTATAGCAATTAATTTTACTATACAGACGTACACAAATGTTTGTCTCTTTACAAATACATATTATTATTATTATAACCACCACAGCGTTACAATTCTGTGAGCTTCCAAGTGCTTCAAAAAAGTTTTACAGCATTCCAAAAACCTGCTGCCGTTTTATAACAGTTTAAGGCCTTTAACCTGCCTGACTATCCGACATAATATTTAATTTGGCCCCATTTGTCCTTCTACACAAACTTCGATTGCGAATACTTTCCCTGGAATATAGTTGTGTGTGTGTAATTCGCAGACTTTCTGAAATTTTGGTCCAAATACGCCTGCCCCAGTAGTCTCGTCGTCTGATCCGTCTGAATATCATACTTGGGACCTTTCGTAAATCATAGTTATTATCACTTTACAGCAGTCCCTTTCAGGAATTCTGACCTTGTAGGGTTTGTAGAAGGATAACTCGGGATTATCAAGGAATGTCTTTACAACCTCCAAATGATCCCGAAGATCCTAAACTTTCTTGCTGACCATATTGGGCAGTCGTAGGGCGCTCTAGCAGGCCTCTTTTTCAAACAGAATATACAAAGGAGGAATGCCTGTAATGACACCAAGGGCATCCGTTGGACTAGTGCCCATAGCTCCTGTAATGGCCACGCGGACCAGTCGGTGCAGCTTGCTAAAGGTGGCACACGCTTTTACGTGCGTAGCTTTTGGTCACCAGGCCAGTGCTGCATGTGTGATAATGGGTCCTACTACCATATTCAAATACCAATAGGTTAGTTTTGGTGATATTCCTCAAGTCTCACAATGAAGTTTCTAACAGATGGAGAATGGTGGACTCCACCGGTGAAATAGTCATGTAAACAAGGTTGTTAAAATGTTTGGAGATACATATTTTATATTTTTCTCAACTAACTATTATTGTCGCTAAACCTACCAAAATCCAANAAAAAAAAGAATCAATCAAAACCTACCAACATTTTTTTAATGTCAAGCTTATTAAAAATGTAGACAACATAGCATGTAGAAAAATTAAAACACAGCTAGTTAAATAAAAAAAAAATAACTACGTATAGCAATTAATTTTACTATACAGACGTACACAAATGTTTGTCTCTTTACAAATACATATTATTATTATTATAACCACCACAGCGTTACAATTCTGTGAGCTTCCAAGTGCTTCAAAAAAGTTTTACAGCATTCCAAAAACCTGCTGCCGTTTTATAACAGTTTAAGGCCTTTAACCTGCCTGACTATCCGACATAATATTTAATTTGGCCCCATTTGTCCTTCTACACAAACTTCGATTGCGAATACTTTCCCTGGAATATAGTTGTGTGTGTGTAATTCGCAGACTTTCTGAAATTTTGGTCCAAATACGCCTGCCCCAGTAGTCTCGTCGTCTGATCCGTCTGAATATCATACTTGGGACCTTTCGTAAATCATAGTTATTATCACTTTACAGCAGTCCCTTTCAGGAATTCTGACCTTGTAGGGTTTGTAGAAGGATAACTCGGGATTATCAAGGAATGTCTTTACAACCTCCAAATGATCCCGAAGATCCTAAACTTTCTTGCTGACCATATTGGGCAGTCGTAGGGCGCTCTAGCAGGCCTCTTTTTCAAACAGAATATACAAAGGAGGAATGCCTGTAATGACACCAAGGGCATCCGTTGGACTAGTGCCCATAGCTCCTGTAATGGCCACGCGGACCAGTCGGTGCAGCTTGCTAAAGGTGGCACACGCTTTTACGTGCGTAGCTTTTGGTCACCAGGCCAGTGCTGCATGTGTGATAATGGGTCCTACTACCATATTCAAATACCAATAGGTTAGTTTTGGTGATATTCCTCAAGTCTCACAATGAAGTTTCTAACAGATGGAGAATGGTGGACTCCACCGGTGAAATAGTCATGTAAACAAGGTTGTTAAAATGTTTGGAGATACATATTTTATATTTTTCTCAACTAACTATTATTGTCGCTAAACCTACCAAAATCCAATCTAGCCTACCAACCTACCAAATGGAAAAAAACCTACCAGTTTTGGTAGGAAAAGCCCATGGTTGCCAACACTGTAAGGCACTGTCTGTTAGGAATTCATGCGCTGAGACTGAATCTCATATCTGAGTCCATGGGCGTAGCCAGGTAGGGGCAGGGGGGCGCCCCCCCCCCCCGAGCGCCCCCCTAACTTTCAAATTTTCCTTATATAAAATAGTACCCCGAAATGCCAGCTTAATAGGATTCTTCTTTGTCCTCTCAATAAAAACCCTGTTCCGGAAAGTTTGATGAGTCCACTCTGCTTCTTCTTTTATTTCATAATTTCTGAAGTAATATTGATGGATGTAGGACACCAAGTCAAGTGGTGACTCCTATTATGCATGTCTGATAATCAATAAAAGCTTAAGAAAAAATTAATACGTATATACACAAGTGCATATCTATGTACACACATTTTATAAAATTTTTTCTAAGTAAAGCTCGTACTGCTAGATTCATTAATGTTGATCCATAAAACCACACTTATGTATGTATGTATATATGTAGTACATAACTGGTGTAGTACAAAAGTACGAGTAAGTCCGCTCATTCACTCACAGACTGCCATAACTAAAAAAGACAGGATTTTTTGAAGACGTGCTTAAAATTTTTCTATTAACTCTCAAAATGCGGAAAATAGAGCCGCACATTGTATTTTCACGCGAAAACTACACACGAAATGCATAGCATGAAATTTTTACACTATGTACAGCTTGAGAAATTCCGCATTATTCGTTCAAAAACTAAGTTTTTGAGTTATGCGAGTCTCTTAGTAAACTAACGATTTCCACTTATTCAATATAAGTACGCACAAGTTTTATTAATCACAATTATATTCAGATTTTTATGTTTTTTTACGCAACTGGATTTAATACGTGAGAACAATATATCTATATACATATATCCATATGGGTATCACCGGCAAGCTGAATTCATGGTACATACAGTAAACTCAAAACAACGTACATACATATCTAAAGCTTGGTCGGAAAGTTATTTTAAGAAAACTTGTCTCAAAACTCTTTTAAAACATCGCTTCCACATTGCCATATACATATATATGTACATACGTACATACATACATATATATAGGGTCTACAAAAATATCATCCCTGTAGGGAATATATTCCCAATTGCTTAAATTTGTTTAAAACGTCCGATTTGTTCGGCAGGAGCAAAATATGAAACAGATTCGTCTTAATTTAAGGTAAAGACTTTTGATAGATAAAATAGGCGTGAGTATCTACTAAATAGGTACTCAAAAATTTGATGTGTAAACATCTGTGTATGGTTGGCAAAGTATTAAGCGATTCAGTTACATATTAAAACATTAAACATCGATTTCATTTCATTTCATACATTTTGTTGGGACCAGTACACGACTTTTCATACCCACTTCGGGGTTGTCCTGAAGTAGTCCTCAAGTGGTTATGAAAAAGTCGCGAGCTTGTCCTGAAAGAATTTCAGAACTAATTCCAAAATAAGCCCAGAACCAGATCTGAAATGAACCCGAACTAGTCGCGAAATGGTCCTGAACAGTTACCGAACAACAACAGTTACCGGGTTAACACAAATTTTTCCCATACTGAGAGATGTTTACACATCTGAAAGAAAGGCGGTCGCTATATAGACGAGTTGTTAGAAGTGCGTACTGGTTACCACTCTGTAGAGCCAATGTTCGATCCCTGCTCCGAGTAACATCTAAAAATAGAAGAAAGTTTTTCTAAGAGCGGTCGCCCCTCGGCTGGTAAAGGCAAACCTGCGAGTGTATTTATATTTTGAAAAACTTCTCTTAAAATTCATTTGCCGTTCGGCGGTGGCGGAAAAGGGTAGATCCCTTCCATTTGTGTGACAACATCAAGACACACATCTCAAATTTGACCGACCAAACACTTAGGACTAAACATTTATTTATGTATTTTGTATGTAGGTGTTTAGGACATGGATTGATCGTTAATGAAATGCATTTAGGAAGGATGACAGACTATATGGTAGACAATCTAGACTTTTGCTGTGGGAGCGGAAGTCTACTCTGAAGACCTTGGTTTTGCTCTAATTCTATGATAAGAATTCCAAGTTCTAAATATGTTAGAAGTCTTTAAAGTCTTACGCACCGGAGTAGGTTACAAAAGCAAAGCAATAATATAATCACATCCAGACGGCTGTTTACTAATCGATTAGCAAATCTAAGCTAGACAAGGAACGCAAAATGGAATTAGGCTCCGTGTCTCGGTTAACGTCCCTTTCTGGGTTCCTGGACATAGGAACATCGAAGGCAATGAGAAAGTTTATAAATTGGCAAAGGAAGGAGCTTGTTTGTATGAATCCGAAACGGTAGCGCTCGGCTGTCATCTTGGAATAATCTAAAGAGAAATTAGTCTGCATTTCCTAGGACTGGCTATACTAAACAGATGATCAGATATACAGAATTGTAGCATATCAAAAGAACTCTTGGCTGACTATAACAGGACGCTCGCCTTGGACCTGGCAATAGATCAAGAACAGAAGTGTTCAGAACTGTACCAACCATCACTTGGCACTGGCCTTTAGGCAAATATGCAGCAAAAAGAGAAGCTGTCAGCTAGAAGATAGCAAAGAGAGTGCCCGGTATTACGCGTTGAGAATGTTCAGGTCTTTTGAATATTAGATAAGAAATGTTAAACAGATACCTAATAACACAACTAACCGACATATCAGGAGCTAGCATAAGCGAAATGGACAGATTCTTTAGAGAATCAAGATGACCAAGTAACATGTCCCAAACATATTCCCCCGAGAAGTGGGACAGCTACTAGGAAGCACTACAAGCAACAAACCAAAAAGAAAAATTGTTTTACCAGGTCACAGTACACGTTTGGATATTAATAAATCCTCTTCAGAAGTATGACCCGCCAAATATTGTTACAATGTACTGACTATTTTCCTATTTTATGTTAAGAATACCACAAAGCTAGTCAAAAATTCTCTAGGGCTATTCTCTGAGTCTTGCAAAGCCCTTGCACGGTGCACCGTTTGCAAAGCTGTCCCATACGAAAACCGGTTTTAACCGTGCAATCCGTGCAATCTGTGCACCATGCAAGGGCTTTGCAAGACTCAGAGAATACCCCTTCTATGTATTACAAGAGGCACAGTAGTTTGTAATAGTAAATGAAATTTCCTGTAGGGTTTGTAGGCTAGAGTACGTATATACACACACAAACATACATATTTATGTACATAAAAATGTACTTCTTTGTTCGATTCTTATGCGCAGGGCTCCGGGGTAAAGCATTATTGCAGGTTAAATCTTTCTACTGACGGCTGTTGCTCACTACGGCGACCCGTTTGTGTGCGTTTTCACTTTGTTAAATTTATTTATTTAATTCAGTTTCGAATTGGAGTTGCTGGTAAATAGACGCGTTTGTGGAGCACAATCTCAGATGCTAGAGTGTGTGTCAGTGTCAATAGAGCAGAGGAAATACTAGTTCCATATCAACTAAATATTTAAAGCGGAATTTCCTACGTTTTCGCACAGTGTCTAATAAATATGCGGGAGTAGTTTTGCTAAGTCGGTCGGTCGCGTGCGTGTGAAATTATGTCATACTCACTATAGTGGCTATAAATATCTAATAAAACAAAAAAATTACATATAAACAAATACATTAACTGAATAGTGTGCAGTGGTACGCCAACAGGAACTGAGTGTTTGGTGAAATGATTTTTACCTGCTCGCTGCTCGCAAAAGTAACAACTTTATATAGGCACCTATGCATGTACCTACCTGTATAAACAAATAATGCTTGTTGGCGTGTAAATAGCAAAACAAACAATTAAGTCAAGCAGATAGACACCGGTTAACACCGGCGTTCAACCTTGAAACTTGCATCAACTATCAAAGCCGCTAAACAGCTTTCCATTCGAGGGCGTTGGATTAAAAGTTCGTTCCATTGCCTTTAAGATACTCATTGCTCACACTATTAAAGACAGCTGGAGCAACAAGAGCGACAAAAGACATTTGGCGACATTTGCATTACTTTTAACACACCTCACTGCCTTTTGAGGAAACGCCCGAAAGAGCACAACTGTGGAATATTAAGTATACATATTTATGTACATACATACTTACTACAAAAGCCGAAGTTCAGTAATAAACAAAGCAGCTGTGTGAAAATTAATAACAAAAGCAACAATATGGCCAGCAAGTGTACTATTACATTTGACAACAATCCGTTGGGGGTTTATTATGCCGGTCAGACGGTTTCCGGCGTGGCGGAGCTAATCACAACAAGGCCAAAAACGATTAGATGTGCGTATTGCCAAAATTAACTACAGTATTTTATTATTGATTTCATTAGTAACTAAAATAATTAAAATTATGTAATTCAAAAGAAATCAAATAAAATAAAATAAAGTTAACATAGAATAATATTCAAACTTTTGGAAAAAATAAAATAAAATAAGATTAAATAAAAGTGAAATAATTTCAAGTAAAGTAAAATAAAACACCATAATAAATAAAGATAAAATAAAACCAAAATAAATTAAAATAAAACATAACAAAATAAAAGTAAAACGTAATAAAATAAAATAAAAGCGAATAGAATAAAATATTAAAAATAATAAGTAATTTTTAAACAAAAGATACAACCGACCTATATGCCCATAAAAAAATTTAGCATCCAGTGTTCGGAAATAAACCAAATTAATATGCCTTGCGGTACCACCTTTCCGATAAAAAAGAATTATCGAAATCGGTCCACGGGTATAAAGTTATCCGGTAACGTATATGTATACATAAAAAAATATTCCTCCTTTTTTTGAAGTCGGTTAAAAATAAAACAAAATAAAGTAAAATAAAATAAATAAAAGGCCTATATGTACATAGATTAAGAAAAAAATACATATTAAGAAAAATTTAGGGAAATAAAGAAAATGATAGAGGTATCTAATGACAAAGATAGAGGAAAGTATAGAAATAGAGAAAAAGATAGAGATTGAGATAGAGATAAAATTGAAGATAAGGATATGTTATGTCATGTCATGGAATCCCTCCCTCTTGGCAACACATAAACATCGTGTAGGGATTACGATCGTTAAACCACGAGCAATGATCAGATAACAATAAGCTGGTGTAGAGGCTCGAGTTGGTCCGCTACTCCATTAAATACGAGTATTTTGTAAGTACCTACTCCAATATGGCACAATTGGATTACATGGTCCAAAGATTTTTGCAGGGTAATGAATACATATTTATACATACATACGTTCGGCTTCTTATTGCAAGTGTATTGTTTCGAACTCGTCAACTACCCTGCTGTACATTTACAGTGACTCAAACAAATGACCACGTGTTGATTTTCTTCAAATATTCGGATTTTTTTTTTCAAGCTAAATTTTTTTTTTGTTATTTTTATATCGTTTCAAACTTTATACAAAATCTAGGAAAATTCAAAAAATTTGCATCAAAATTTCAACTTTTTATTCAGAATTTTTAGAAAATTTTTGGGTTAGCAGTTTTTCATATAAGTATGAATTTCTTATGAAATAAAACGCGAGAGACCGTCAGCAACAAAATTTCAAAATATCAACGCAAGTTTTTGTAAATTGCGCTTTTTATTATCAAAAAACCCGAAAAAGTAGCCTCCAAAAAAAATTCTCAAAAATCAAGGCGATTTTTTAGCCATTTGGAACTTCCACTTCATTAGAGTAAAATTGTATAGGCTGTTAAACTGCATACCCAAAAATTTTCTACAAACTCAGAATAAACAGTTGAAGTTTTGATGAAAATTTCGTGAATTTTCCTAAATTTTGTATAAAGTTTGAAACTGTCATTTATACGGTTTTGGTTAAAGCTTAGACGAATTTTTTATATAAAAACAACAAAAAAAAAATTTGCTGGAAAAATATTAAGAATATAAAAAAAAACAACGCTTGGTCATTTGTTTGAGTCACTGTATATGTACTGCTGTCCAAAATAAATTTAATGGAGTAGCATCATTATTTAGGTGTTCGCCCGACGCCGCTTACCATCCCACTATGATAGGAGTTTACGCTATTGTTTGTAGTTTACTATACATACATACATATATACATAACTCAGCAAAAGTGATTTTTGATTGTACATCGTACTTATTTTCAAACTCATAGCACAGAAGTATTTGCCAGAATTATTTGAAGCTATTCATGTAAATATGTATGTAAACCTCTGACGCATTTTTATAACTCCTTAAAAGATATTTACCAGCCATTCTCTAGTCACCTCTCGCACCATGCAATAAAACTCCTCATAAGAATAAAAAAAATATGCGTAGTGAAGTCATTCCTATTAAATATGTATTCAAGTCTATGAAATTTGTTATACTCCGAAATGATTACGTCACCGGAAATTCGCAGAAGCATTTCGACACAAGCGAATAGATACCTACACGTGTTGGTACAAAAAATTTGAATATGTACATACATATCTGCTTCATTAATTATGAATTAAAAGACAACTAAGCCACTATTATTTATGTACACATATGTATATACATATGTAGGATTTTTGCAAAAAAAAAATATTCTAAACAACAGGAGACAACAATAAAAAATTAAATCAAATTTAATGCCGGAGCTGCTTTATTACACTTTTTTGCAATTTCAATTTTACATATATTATTACGATAAGTCTATGCCTGTAATAAATAAAACACTCTTAGCTAGTAATTGTTATTATTTGTTGCATGCCAGCCGATTGATAATTGTACATATGTACATACGTACATATATGAATGTAAAACATGTCTATAAGCACTTATGTATGTATGTAAATAGGTTTATAAACTACTATGCAATTGCTGATAATTGCACTACGTTTTTTAAAGCACAGCAATTAAATATGTACTTGCCTACATATTTGCAATATTCACATTTAAAATATGCATATGAGGCATTCTTCGTCAAATGAAGCTCCTCTCTACAAAATTGGTTCAGGTAAAAAAATTCTTAAATTAAAATTCTTAAAATTTGGTAAAAATTTTTACTTTTAAATGATGAGGAGAGTTTTCTGAAGCCCAATATGGCGGATCCACAATAGGGCAAATTTTTTACTAATTTATTGAATTCACCATGTTGGATCCCACATTTTGAATGTTTGAAATTCCTGATCGTATTTGTAATCCGCCACTCCAAAAAGCCGCCAGTAACTAATTTCAAGTGTGTACAAACATTTGTAAAATTTATTTTGCCCGCCATATTGGATCTCAGAAAACGCCAGTCATCATTTAAAAGTAAACTTTTTTACCGAATTTTCAAAAATATAACCGATTGCTTTACCTGACCCAATTTTGAAGAGTGTATGAATGAATTATCACAAATTTATCCACCATATTGGATTCGCCATTTTGAATTTAAAATTTTAAAAATTCATAATCATATTCTATTTAGTGACCCCAAAAGCCGCCAATAACATATTTCAAGTGAATCCAATAATTTTTCAAAACTTTATCAGCCATATTAGGTCCGCCATATTGAATTTCAAAAAACGCTTGTCACTAATTAAAATTAAAAAAAAATTACCGAATATGCAAAAATGTAACCGATTTTTTAACTTGAAACAATTTTGAAGAGAGGATGAATGACTTATTAAAAAATTATACGCCATATTGGAACCGGAATTTTGAATTTTACAAGTTCCTCATCGTATTCGTAATCAGTCACCCCAAAAAACCTACAAAACAAATTTTAAGTGAATCCAATCGTTTTTGTCCGCTATTTTGGGTCCGCCATATTGGATTTCAAAAATTTTTTCTAACCCAACCATTTTTTGAGAGGGGCCTCATATATATACATTACCGATGGGAATTCTATCCGGATTTCTGATTTAAATAGCCGCATATGACCGAATATTAACCGTAATGCAAAGTTAACGGATGTTAAACGGATTTGAATCGTATATCCGGATAAAAATATTAATAACCAATCTGATATCCGGATATGCGTAAACATGTATTTCCGGACGGATTCGGATAGTCCCAACCCTAGTATACATACATATTTACAAATATCATGACATTAAATTGCATACTTGGCGGCCAGTTGAGAAACTTGCTTCAACTATCTCATGAAAGGAAATGTCTTGCACTAATTAGAGAGCTTATCTAAACAAATCTAATTTCATAAATGTTTAAACATACCAAAATAGCCGATTTACTTAATTTGTGCATAGAAGTATGGATATTCAACGAATGTGTTTTTAACAAGAAGGGGGAACTTCCACGTCATCTAGTTCTACATACTGGAGTGACTAGGTCTTTACTCGAACAAGAGTTATTCTTTCGGCGACTTAACCCCACTTAAATCTGAGAACCTATCAACCTTGGTTCGTCTCCGCACCCTTCTGCTATATTTCGATTAGTCACAACTTCTGAAACATATTTAGCCACCAAAGAACATGAGCATGAGCAACAAATGAACTCCCGCACCTTCCCCACCTTTAACTCACTACAACTGCCGGGTCGCCTCTACACATCGCTATGAGCAGCAATACCAGGGTAGACAATCTCATTTATCCCCCTGACCACTTTTCGAGCTCAAAATATTAAACGTACATACATACATACATATATATATATGTCACCTAGTGCGCGCCAGGATATCATCCCTTCGAAAGTGAGTGACTCTAACTCGAATGTACTGTAAGGATATAGAGCACTCGATTGACGGTCTCGATCCACAATCTGATATATAGGCATTTCTACTTTTTCTTTTACCTTCAAAGTCTGGATACTCCTACCGCGCTGATATTCTCTTTCCAGTAGAAAAGCTTCTTAGTCCTCTCTAATTAAGTGATACCTTCCTTCTGTAACCTCGTCTTCATTACATTCCACTACAGCAAAGGATCAGCAAAGTAAATTAGATCTGTTTATTTCTGCATAGCATCAAGTCGTCTAAGGGCCGTTTGCACCATGTCTAGTTAATTCTAACTCCCAGTTAAACATCTTTATCGACGTTATCGACACCCATCATATAACATGTGATCGATAAAGCAGTTAACGTGCTTAACTGAAGGATGTACCTCCAGTTAGCGTTAACTAGACATGGTGCAAACGGCCCTGAGTGAGCGAAGTACCTTGAGTGTTCCCAAGGCAGTCGGGTCTTCGTAACCGAAACGACCCAGATTTATATGCAACAATATAGATCCCATGCAATTAGAGCATACATTGACATAAGGACAGGGCGTTACCGGCCTTCTTTGACTTTATTCAAAAATAATTATCCGTTACTTTGTGTAGTCTTTTAAGGCCAATCGGCATTACAAATCTTCTGTGCTATCCACGTCCGGATCATTTACTTTCTTGTGAAGAATACCATATTTTTTCGACTTAACATTGATATCGCGAGGGTTTAACTTTTAAGAGATCTGTCTGGGCGTCACTAATCTACATGTATAGAAATACTTAGACGTGGTCTAATAATTAAATGTTGGTTCCTATACTCAAAATTATTGTGTAGAAAAGAGAAGAAATTTGGTTTATTTTTTTGAAATTATAGATCCGTAAAAGAGAGCGCAACTGAGTTCTCAATTACACCTTGTTTAATCACTTTGAGCCTAAATCAGTAGACTTTGAGAGAAAATTCAAGGTAGAGTTTTGCACCAAGGCAACTTGGGGCACCTGCTCTGTGGAGAGACATATACAACCTGGCATGCTGCTATGGTATACAGACGGCTCCAAAACTCTACACGCGGAGGAAGTTAAGGATAATAAACGTTTTTCTGGTGCGGCACTGTAGACTAAGAGGTCACCTGCACAAGCTGGGGATCAGATCAAGCGACCTATGTATTTTCTGTGAATCGATTGGGGAGACTCCTTTACACCTGCTTCGCGAGTACGAGACGATTGCAAGGAGATGGGAAAAACTCATGTTGCTTTAAATTTTAGAAGGCCTATCTATTTATTTTCTCTAATTGAGCAGATGGGACTATAGACAACTTATTAGACAGCTGACTGATCACTTCACGTAGCACTGACACCTGGGGCCTATTTACTACAAGTGACAGGTGCCACTATTGTTGCTTTTTCCCCAAAATTTCAGAACCAGAATTGTCGGCGAAATCTTCGTTGCTTCTTGGACGGCTATAGGCAGCAGTGGCAACTTTTGGAAAGCTGCATTTACTACACTGTCAGTACGGAAATGCCTGCCGTTACTTTTATGAAATAGGCCCCCAACTGTGATAGACCTAGATGACAACTTCATTTGCCCGTCCTGCCTTGAAGAGGTTGAGACGAAGGGAGGGGTCCTTTAAATGTGCAAAGGTACAAAAAACCGGTTTTTAAACCGCAAGCCCAGAGTTTGGGGGTGTTTGGCAAATTTCATATTTCGATACTTGTTTTACTTGACAAGACCAACAAGAAAAATAAAATAGTGTAATCAATATGATTATTCAATTAGTTATAATCCGGGCGTAATGTTGACTGACCTTAGCTGCAATGAGTTTCAGGATTGAGGATAAAGGTTAGTGATGAATCATCACAGGTGCTGCATTTAAGAAAAGTATTCACCCAAGTACATAAATACATATTTACAATGTGTATGTATGTATGCACATATAAATATGTAGTAACATGTGAGCGTTCACCGGCGTTCTTTCATGCACCGCGAACTAGACATAAGAACCATCAATTACTGGCATTTGACCTAAGTAGCAAACAATTCATGAAAAATATTTAATAGAATTCTACAATCATCTCCACCTACTGAAGAATGATAAATGATCTAATAGGGAAGGAAGAAGCTGAGCAATTTAGCACAATAGAAGTACGAGTGCTACGATTGCATAGATATAAAAATAATACTCACCTACTATATACTTTTATGACTTAATAGATATTTTTGTAGAAATTAATTGAGAACAATTCTATTAGATTAATTGACAACACCAAAGTCAATTCAATTCAGGCAATTAAGATTAATTTGAGGATTAACTGTGTCTATGCATTGCACTTGTTCTTAAGTACGATAAGTTGCATTACTAAACGCTTTTGGGAACTTTTCATTTGATTTTGCAGCCATTTACATTAGCGTCTGTGGCCATGCTGAAACCCGCTGGACGGAAAATGTAACGAAGCAAGACACTGAGGGTAAACCGCAAAAGACCATTGAAACCTTTTCCGGCTCCGAGTTGTACTACAGTACGGAAAATCATGTTTATGGTCAAAGTGGCGGTTCACAAATCGAGTTGCCACCTGGAAAGTATGCTTTTCCATTTCAAACGACCATACCACCAAATTCGCCAACATCGTTTAACGGTTCCTGGGGACAAGTGCAACATGAAGTGGCGTTGGTGATAGATCGTGTGATGCGATATGATAACAAATTCAAGCAGGGTTATACGGTGATATCGCCATTCGATTTGAATCTCAATCCAGAGCATATGGTAAGGTGGTGGAATTAATGTAAAAGCATTGATCTTCATTGGATCACAAATATTTTTTAATCATTTTCCTTTAGAAACCACTACAAAAGATTGAGGAGAAAACATTTTGTTGGGGCTTGTGTTGCGGCGGTAATGGCCCTATGGTGTTGCAGGTTAAAGTGCCCTTCTCGGCTTATGCACCTGGGCAGAAGATACGTTTCCACGCTTTATTGGATAATCAATCGGATGTGCATTGTTCCGATGTAAAAGTGCGCTTAATGAAGAAAGTGAACTTCAGCAGCCGCAATCCGGAAGCTAAACGCCAAGTTGTAGAGATCAAAGTTGCCGATAATCACTGCGGTGAAGTTATTAAGCATAATAAAGCGGAATTCAATGAGTATTTGCAAATTCCCTCCACCACACCGACTTCATTGGAGAACTGTAGTCTTATCAAAGTTAGTTATACGCTCAAATTTATAGCCAAAGTTTCGCGTATTCATGGCGATCTGGTAATTGAATTTCCATTGACCATCGGCACTGTACCGTTATATGCAAGCGCCAATGATGCGGGTCCGGTAACAACACAACCTGGCGCTGGACCAGTCTACAAGCGATTGCGTAAGTTTCAGTCTGACAAGGCTTTATTATACATACGCCTACATGTACATTAGGGTGCATCACCATTTATATAAAAAAAAAAAAATCGGCACTGTTTTTCCAGCGGAAATACAAAATTTATTATATGTTAAGACTTCTAATAAAATACTTCGGAAAAAATATTAAGATTTGCGTGAGCTGGATCTATTTGAAAATACCACCAAAAATCAAGTTTTATATAAGTACATTTTTTGAATATTTTTTCTAAAAAATTATCTCACACAACAGAATATTTTAGGCTTGAAAAGTTTGCTTATAATATTTAAAATTTGTATCAACAAAAGCAAAATAATAAGATTTTTGGGGATATTTTCCAATGGTCTTAGCTTAGCTCACGTAATTTTTAATATTTTTCCGAAATATGTATTTTGACGGAAGTCATAAAAAATAAAGAAGACTGTAAATGGCTTACATATGGATAATTCGTATGAAAATGCTACATTATTTTCTATGAAGAAAGGTGTCGACGTCAGCTGACACGACTCATTTATGTAATGGGATTGGCGTAGTAACGTAAGCTCGCCACGGAATGGCGGTGACATCGTCATTGCTTCTCTCTCCCTATAAACAGAAATTTTAATTAATTTGATACGGACGGCAAGTACGGAAAGGCGGCTCCGTCGGGGGATAACTGGCGCATAAGGCCAATAAAATTTAATACATTTTATAATTCCGGTGGAAAGGCCACTAATTTTTTTTGGTGATACACCGTAATATATTTACATACATACATATATGTATAAACTGCTCTTTTAAATCCCTATTCGCAGCACCACCAATGTTCGAGGAGGATGTCCGTAGCGAACAATTTGAAGATAACACATTCCGTCCGCGTTATCCTGTTTTTCTCAGTGATGCCGGTTTGCCATCGACTGGTAATGGCCTCAACAATCAGCCTCTACCACCATCAAATGGCGTTTATCCTTCAAATATTGCGCCGGCACCGGGTCCTTCGACGCCAGCACCGGCACCAATGCCATCAACACCTCAACATAATAATTCACTACCAGCACACAATTATACGCTTTCACCAGGTCCATCTGCATACCCAGCCTCGCCTACACCATCTGCTCCGGCTTTACATAACGCTGCCGCAAGTCCTAAGCCAAGTTCTTCCAACACCGCTGGCGGTAATGCAGAAGTGCTCGGTTTCAGCTTGCCGCCAGATTATGAACCGACACCGCCACCAGCGCCTGGTTCCCAACCTGGTATTGGTTGGAAGTGAACTTCGAGGGACTTTTTCAAACATGGAAATGTTTTTTTTTTGGTATCCTGTAATCGGAAATTCGAATATAGAAGTATATATTAAATACAGATTTAAAAACTCTCAATTAGGGAAGTTGCATTTTACAATACATACTACATACATATGTACACTCATATGTGTATTTTTATATTTCATATAAATTGTGTTTTAATTCAATTAAAATCCTTTTTTGACAAATATCTTTAAGTCAATTCGCTTTTGGATTAATTTTTACATAGCCGCAAATCCAGTATTTGCCTTGAACTTTCGAAAATGTTCCACAGAACGGCAGTTCTTGCTGAATGTGGAAAACGATTGACACCTTTTGGCCATCTAACTAGATTAGACCGGCGAACCCATCCAGTCGCAATACGACGCAGTAGGGTTGCTCCGTACTCTTACGACTCGTGCTGGAGTCGAGTTCAACACCAGACCGGAAACGTATTTCAGATGTGTAGACTCCATCCAAACTGCAATTCGAGCCTCAGAAGTGAAAACCATGACACAAGGTGACCAAATTAGTCAAGCAATAGTAGCGGAACTTTATTGGTTGAGCAGAGAGATGCTTCGACGTTTTGCTCCCTCAGTAATATCTTGCGCTAGTCTGATAAATGGCATAATGTGGCAACTTAGTATATCGTTAGCATCAGACAACCTACACATAATCATCTCGATTGATAAACCCGTCGACTTTGCTTCCCTAAATTCCTGCTCCCACATTATATTCAACAAAAGCTGATAGCAAAGACTCAGCCGAAGTTACCGAGAGCATCTTCGTCGCTCTTTGCGCATCAATTGGCGTCCATGTTATTGGACATAAATTCTAAATGGTGGTCACTTCTGCATCAGTTCGCTTCGTCCCTTTCGTACGCTTGGTAAGATTGCAACTTTTCCGACGAAGGAGCAGGACCAATTCAAGGGGTCCTGAAGGCTTCCTAAGTGAATGAGTTTTGATAAACTTAGTTGTACAACCTTACGAATTAAGATAACATTTCTTGCAGGGTTCATGAAATCCCTCTACTGAAGCCAGAGGAACCACCCAACAAAGAGGAAGCTCATGTAGGCCTCCTATCTCTAACAGACGGTCAAAGGATGGGCGGCACATTATCTAAATGGTCTGAAATCGTAGGTAATTTTTGAGAGCAAACACCAAAATTAAGGAAAATTAAACAGGAGATTTCACAGAGTGTTGTCCTCGACAAGGACATTGATGATGAGCTACGTTTGAAAGTAATCATTTATCTCCGCGATGTTTTAGTTGAAGCGACGCTACTAAGCCCTGTCTATCAATCGTTGTTGTTGTTGTTATTTTAGCAGCTACTCAACCCTGTCTAAATCGGCTTGTCCCTCCATCTTGGCGTCAAGCTCAACTAGCGGGAGGCCTATAAAGCGTGCAACTTCAATTGGCTTTTTCGTAGGGACAGAGGTGTCTGGTGAGAGGGGGTTTACAGGGCATGCGAATCGATGTCTCGAGTGGTGGAGTGTCCCCCCGCATGCCGGTCACTCGTTTGGCACATCTTCATCTAATATGCTCAGGTATGAGTTCAACCTACTGCAGTAGCCAGAGCGAAGTTGAGCTATTGTGGTTCGAGTCTCCCGAGTTAGGCGAAGCTCTGTCTCATCCACGTCAGGTGGTTGTGTTCTAAATGACTTTTGATATGCTGTCAGGACCAGATTTTGCTTTATGAACGTCTGAACTTCGTCCGTCAGTTCGACGTGCACTGGCGAGGGCTCCACCGCAAGCAGATGTCTGTTCTGGTGCCCACGTCGGTGACACCCATCCGGTGGCCGCGTTTTGTAAGGTATGTAGCTTCGTCCACTGCGCCCTAATAGTCCCCGGCGCTCATATAGACGCTGCGTAGTTTGGAAGCGGACGGCCAGTTGCCTTGTATGTTTCCAGCAACGTTTCTTTCTATTTGCCCCTGGTGCAACCAGCAACGTTTCTTTTTATTCGCCCATGGTGCTGCCATCTAGCGACTTGAGGGCCTTTTGTGTGGCTCTGTACTCGAGGTGGTAAGAAGGGTTACCGAGGATTTTGTAGGGGAGAGGGTTCGGAGAGGTAACCGTTTATTGTTGATCAATTCCATTTCCAGACACTATTATCGAGCAGTCGTCAGCACAAAACACAATCGAGACTCCCTCTGATGGTTGAGGGAGCTTTGAAATATAATAGTTAAACAGTATTCCGAAAGGCGACCACCCTTCGGGACCCTCTGCTTAATTTTTATTGACTTGCTAGTTTTGTCGAATGTTGACCATTCAAATAATTCGCTGACCACCGTTTGGGTCCTTGTGGGAGAAAGGAAGCTTCAATGTCTTCTAGTAGCGTGGAGTGGGTAAGGGTATCAAACGCTTTGACAGATCCAACGCTACTAGAACTGTTCTCTCACGGTAGCGGTTTCGGTTTACTTAGGACACGAGTTATCTGAGTGTTTATGGCGTTTAGTGCTTTGGTTGTTCTGTTAATTCTACGGAACCCATGTTGATGCCTCGCTGGGCACAGGTGGTTCGTATAGCGTCGGAGTAGCAAGGCCTCAAGTATCTTCGCTACCCGGAAAAGGAGGGTTAGACTCCCCGGTCTAAGCAGTGGGCCACTCTCCCCATTTTCCAGATGTCCGGAATGATGAGAGTAGCCATAGGACAGGTTGATGACCTTGGTAAGGTAGTATACTCCCACAGGACGCAAATTTTTCGGCATCAGCATGCATATTCCATTGGGTCATGTGGTTTTGGAGGATTTCGCCTTCCCTATGGCCGCTGGTGAAAACAAAGGCCCACTAAGTGTTTGCAGTTTGTGTAGCCTTCTGGTCACTAGACGTTTGGCTTTGTACGTCGGAGGAAGCAGCGTAAATTGCCGGCTAAAGTTGTTCCGGGTCCGACGAGGTGCGGACGGCGAACGAGATTTCGACTCTGGAGGCACGCTTCGTCGGGTTGGACAGCGGCCTCTCGTTTGACCAAAGCTTGCTTACACCAGAGGTGAAGTGACAAGCCTTCATATGCTCTTCCCATTTATTCCGATGATGTAGGTTCATATCAATCGTTGTCGTAAAGCTCAATGAACGGAAGGCCCAGGCAATGTGTTATTTTGTCGGACCAAACGGAGAGGGGTGTTAGTTGAGTAGATTTAATTGGGAAGGTTCACAAGGGGGTCATATGCTCGGTACGAGTTTAGGCGACTGTAGTGTCAGTACCTTGAACCGATATAGCTCGCTTCTTTAGACCCCCCGTGTTAGATGAATTATTATGAAAAGGTTAATTTCCTCTTTGTTATCGCCGGATGTGTAAGTGAACCGCAGCTACTATACCTGATTTGATCAGATCCTGCTTTGAAAAAGGAACAAGTAATTCATTTGTAGGGAGCATTAAAAGCTCAGTTAGCCTAGACATAATTTCAGTAACTTAACTTAATATCCTGGCCAACTTGTTATATGAGAAATTGTGTTGGCGGTTAGTTAAAACTTAACTTACCGTAAGCAACTTAAGAACCTGTAGATTTTAGATTCTTAAGCTGAAATTAGTCAAGAACGCAGAACTTATACTTAAACGCAGTCTGTATACGCAGAATTTTGTCGATTACTGGAGCCCTCAGTGTTGCTTACTACAGTGTTGCCACTTATCAATGCCTTTTCATAAACTTACCTTTTCAACTACAATTTGTGCTATAATAGATCGTAGCTAAATATAAACTACTTAGTTTTCAACAAAAAACCTTATTCAATAGTAAATTTCAAATATTTTAAACGTATTTTGAATAGGAAATTATAACTTTTTTACCATCTGCAAAACTGACGAAGTAGCAACCATCTATAGAAGGGAAAAATATTCTGAGACGGAAAAACCTAAATTCCGCAGATTTCTGCGCAACGGGCTACAACTACAGAAAAATTCTGCGCTGTTGAGTTTTCATTTACATGGCGCTCTGGTAAGACAGATCGTGTCAGCTGACTCGGGTATACGTACCGGTAGGTTTAACTCAGCTTTAAAGCGCAGTTACCCACGGACGTAAAAACGGAGAACGTGTCAGCTGACGCGATCAATCTTATGGAATCTGCTTACATCTGTTAACAAAAACTCACCACCGCAGGACCGTGACGTACACGTTGCTCCTCTCTCTTTCTATCAACAGCACACTTGATACCTTTGTACGTACTTCTACGCTACGCTACGTACACGTTCGTGGGTAACCGCGCTCTTAAGTTACGGCCTTACGGAAATTGGGAGCGGTGAGAGAGTCAGGCTTGCCATTTTGTTTGCTGTGACATTTTAGGCGGCGAACTGTTAAACAGTTGAATAAGAAATACAAAAACAAAATATTTCCGCTCTTGGCTTAAGTTGACGAGTTTAGTAATCATTGATGATTTCTTATGGTACGTTAAATGAAGTTAAGTCTAGACTAACTGAGCTTTAAGAAATTCCGAAAAATTTATTAAAGTATTCTCATCCATATTGCTATATTATTCAATATCTAATTTTCTTTGCGGCAGCAATAGATATATGCCATTTTCAATACAATTTCAACACTAGATCTCCTTTATCTATAGCTACGCAATGTTTTTTATAAAAAGGAATGGAAAATTTAAAAAAATGCATCAGCAATATATATCGCCGGAAATACTTTTTATCCCAAATATTTAAATTCTTAACAGAAATCTGGCAGCACAATTTCAACTTCAGGAGTACTGCCAAGTTTCACACTAATTGCACTAGAGTGGCCAGAGTTTATAACATACTTGCTTACACATTTAAAATTACATTACAAAACCTATTTTACGCCACCTCTGAATTAATATGTTTTCATATTTGTCCTTTCCTTACTATCTCCAATAGTTTATCTCCTTAAAACTTTCAAAAAATTAGTCGTCCTTGATCTATTTCACAGAAACCAACCTTTGAGTACTTTTTAAAGCAACCATGCCACCGCAGTGCTGCCAATTCCTTTTGATTACAGTATGAGAAAATCTTTTATTGAATAAAACTGAGTAATACAAGATGGACGTGGTTTTTTTGTCGTCGTACAATTACAACTTTTTCATTATTTTTAGTATGTGAAAACGTTTTGAAAATAACACTAAAAGGCAAAACAACAAGCTAAAGTTCTGGTAAAAAATCTGCGTTGAAAATTTCTTTGTAAAAAGCGAAAAATACAAATATTTGGAAGGCGTCGCGTGAATCGTTCGATTTTTATACAAATTTTTACATTTGCATTGCTACGCCTCTGCGGATTTTTCCAATCGTGTGTACATTTGTGCGCGCGTGTGTGTGCCGTTGAAAACGGCAGTTTTTTGTTTGGTGAAAAATCGAAGTTTGTTACGCCGCTGCAGTGTTTCACCGTCGGATTGTTTGTATGTGTGAAAATTTGTGGCAATTGCACCAAGAAATTGGAAAAGTATGTGCGTCCAATAAAGTGCATTTGGTGTCGTTTTGAATATTGTGCAAAATATTAGTGAACTTAAAAGCATAATCTGCATAAACCCACGCTGTGCCAAGATATAATTTGCAAAGGGCTCATAGAAGTGAAACAAAATTGGTCCAGTCAAATTACAAGGACGGTTGAGCAAAAGCAGCTGTTCATCGCAAGCATATACATAGCAAAGCAGTCCGTTTGGTTTTTACGTCTAGCGGAAAATTAACAACAAAAACGTGAAAGGGTGGAGTTAAAAGAAACGGTAAGCCGACATCTTGATTTTCCTCTGTATTTTGCTTTCCTATGATTTTCCGCAATATGATTTTTCGTTTTTTCCTTCACACTTTTCTCCAATTCTCACTATATGTGCAAATGCATCTACACAATTTCTTTTCATATAATTTTTCGTGAGATTGGTCAATTCGAAAGCCGCAGATGTTTATTTTTTTGTTATTGTTTGTGCAGATAGCAGAATCCACGAATTCCCCTGAATAGCCCTTTCTGCTAGGCATGAAATAGAAAACGAGGAAACAAAAACAATGAGCTGCATTCCGTTAATTCGAAATGAGATCTCTGGAATGATGGAACGAGAAGGATACACAGAAAAATGCAAAAAGATAATTGGGGTTGCCTGTCTTTGAAGGAATAAAGTGCTGCCAAGTCTGATAATTTTTAATCTGCATCAGGGATGGAAAATCAATTTGTATTTAATTACGGTACGAATGTACCTAAAAATTTGTATGTATATAGATACAACAAGAGCGCGGTTACCCACGGATGTGTACGTAGCGTAGCGTAGAAGTACGTACAAAGATATCAAGTGCACTCTTGATAGAAAGGGAGAGAGAGCAACGTCTACGTCACGGTCATGCGGTGGTGAGTTTGTTTGACACGCGGTTTTTGTTGCCACGCAGATTCCTTTGTTGGCCTTCGCATTCGCTCGGTGTTTTCGTACGTCGCCAAAATGTTGATTAAGCTTCTCAGAGGTCTACTATATATATAATTTATGTAAATCGGTCGATGTTCAAAAATGTGTTAATGCCTATTTCACATTAAATGCAATTAACATTGAACCTTTCGAGCATTTACTCAACCTTAAGATAGAATCAAATGCGGATTCATCGTTCTAGTTCTGAACTAAAGTTAAAGTTGGGTTCACAACTCAAAAGCGTTCAGAAATTTTCTCAGTTGCTCTCCAAGATAGAGGAACACAACAACAAACTCATGGAAGACAAGTTCTGACCTAGAACGATGAATACGCCTTAAAGGACTTTGTTTACTTAGGAGCCAACCTACTGTCAGTCAGGGATCGAAGGAAGCTTAACTCTTGTCCGCTGGTGCTTATTTAGGCATAGCAGGGGGCTTCTAAACGAATAGAAATCAACCTTAAGAAACCTCTTGTCATTCTTGTGTGCTCATATAACATAGCAACGTAGACGATGTCTGATGGAGAAGAAATGTGTTCGAGTGCACTCAAAAAAATCCTAGATGGATACGTCTGCAACTGCATGTCCCTACTTTTCCATCACTGCCTTCACTATTTGTATTTGCATATTATTCGTATTAAATTTTTTAAAAAGCCCTGCACACGCATTGATGTATCGACCAACCAGTTGGCCAACAGCTAGACCGCTGACAACAAGCCGGTGATGCCGACGTCCAACTTTCGCCCAGCTAATTCGTCTAAGCTTTGGTTTCCTCGAAAGCGGTAACGTCAAGTAACGGTCGTAACTGCGTTGCCAAAAACGTTGCCATGTAAAAATTACCAGATGCCAACTAAGATGACGGCTATACACACCGTAATGTAATATGACGGCACGGAAAACCCCACAACCCTAACGGCGTCGTCCCTGTGTACCGACCCCATATAGGCTGCACGCTTCTTGGGGCTGCCGTTAGTGGAACTCGACGACATCGACTGAGATATCAACCAGTCTGGGCGGGGTTGTTGTAGCCGCTACAACAACAACAACATGACGGCACCGTAATATTTCTGACGGCAACAGAGACCGTGTAGAAATATTTATCAACGTTTTTTGGCATCGTCATAGTTGTAGTATTTAATACAAATTTCTATCAATTTTGAATAATAAAGTGGTAAATGCATGGACGGTCGAAGAGGATGGAGTCCTTATAAACTTTGTAAAATGCAATGAATGCCTATACAACATAAAAGCACAAAGCTACGTTACGTTCATTAAGCTTTACATAAAATCGGTACCGCTATTAGCGTTGAGAATAGCGTTTGGTATGATACGGTCGTAATATTACGGCATCGATTTTCGAGGAAACCAAAGCTTTATACTGAAGCCCATACAGAGTGTTGTTTAATTCAGAAAGTTGTGAAATGATAATGTGACCATATTTCAAGAAGGAAGCTTATACAACGAATAGGGAACAGTAAGAATAAGCTCAAAATATAGAAACAGTCGTTAAATATAACTACATATCTACTAGTATTAGTCTCTGAAAGAAAAATATAATGTATATTATTTTACTTTTTAACAAAAATTACAATAATGACCACCATGGTCTTTTTTATCGTTGCCGCTGACCGCGGCAATAGAAATCAATCTGTCGTCGCGAACAGTCGTCCAGCGAACTTCGCCGTTTGCTTTGGTTCCACGCGAACATTCGCTGCGAAAAAATCGCCATTCGCCGGCATTGTGTTTCAACCGAGAAGTCGGAGGTAAATATGCCGCGTGTAGGCAAGTTGGCAAACCTTCGTCAGGTTGGAGAAAAATCCAAAATTTTTGATTTTTAAGGAAGATTGGTCAACTTGTTGCTCTGTGTGTAGACAATTTGGCAACCCAAAATGCTATTTTCACTCTTTTTTCAAGGCGCATTAACGTTAATATGTTTTTTTTTGGTTCGTTTCGTTTCGAAAATAGGGGCACCCAATGTGCACAAAGCAAACATTTTTAAAACTTTTTTTCCAACCTTTGAAAAATTCTTGATTCTCAAGTGGAAATCCAAAATTTTTCCAAAGGTTGAATAAAGTTTGAATTCAAGTTGATATCCCAACATTTCTCAAGTGGAGAACTCAGATTTTTTTCCATATAAAAAATGTGCCGTTTTTGGAGAATGTGTTGGTTCTCCAATTGAGGTACACTTGAAAATCAACATTAGACCTTGAAATATTTGTTGGATCTCCACTTGATCTCCAACCCAAATGTTTATTGAGCATAAGCAATAACAAATACATAAAAATTAGAAGCATTTGCTGTTGTGTTGTTCACAGTTCAAAAACTCTTATGACGTTTTCGTTTCTACCGAAAAATGTTACCTTCCTAATTGCCCTCTAAGCACAAATATTAATAACCGGGCAATGGAAAAGAACTTTTTTTGTAGAAACGAAAACGCCTTTTCTCAAATGAAATTGTCCAACCGGTTGGTGCTTTTGTAGGCAATTTCATTAAGTAAGTTGGTCAACAGGTTGGCCGATAAATCAATGCGTGTGCAGGGCCTTTAAAGGGGGGCTTTGAAATTGTTCTCGTATTCAGCGTTGCCGTTTAGAGCCAATCGGGCCAAAATTGTAATTTTGTTAATCAAAAATGTTTTGAAGGCACAATTAAATTGAGCATTAAAATTTGTTTTGCTTACTTTGCGATATACGTTCAAGAAATTGCTTTAAATTTGCTTACACGTATAGCAATGCAATATACTTCTAAAAGGCTGTCAAATTAGGAAGTTTCAGAAAGCGGTCATACCTTGCATATAAAGTGTCTTCCGAAAGGCGAATTGCAGATTGCTAGTGCAGCACGAGCAAGTTGAAATATATTTCCAAAATCGTTTTGCGCTCTCTCAATTGCAGACACTTATTGCAACTTTTATTTCTGAAACTGATTACCGAAATGTGACAGAACGGTCCTTCTGGCTGTTCACATATCGAAATAAAATTTTTCTTTCTCAATTTGGCAGCGAATCGCATGAAAAACTTGGAAATATTGCCACGTCTGAGACGCTCTTATGGTTTTTGCTTGTTTTTTTTTCCTACAAATTTTCTGCAAATAAAAACGCACTTCCCAAAGCTTTGATCGTTCAGTTTTTGAAATTGAACGAAAAATTACCTATCGTCTTAAAAGAAAAATTGCTTTCAACCTGGACGGCACTTTGCAAAGTGTAAAAAGTTAACAAGTCCACTTTAGGAAATTGTGCAGGAGAGACGAAAAATAGATGTAGTTTTGCATTATCGGTCAATCTGCATTAACAACTAAATTTAAAAAAAAAAAACTGGATTTGTACCTTTCCAACTTTACATTTTTTACAAATAGATTTTATACAATACCTTATTTTTTTATATGTGTTTTAATTTATACCAATTTATATACATTTTTGATAGTTTATATGCCGATGTCGCAACACTGCTCGCAAGCATTTTGTGTCCCTCGCAGGGTAGGTGGCAAATCCTTCCGCTTTCTATTTCCACTTACTTATGTATTTATATTTGCTGCGCGTATGTAACCATCCCATTACCCGCAGTTGTGCCATTATTTTATATGGGTACTGCATGATTTCATTCGGCAAAATAGAAATATGTACATATGCATGCCCACACATACATGCATTGGATTACCTCAAAATGACTCAAAGGCAGAGGAAACTTACCTATATAATATTGTCAAATACGTCATCTCTTTATGAGTTGTATACTTTTTATTTAGTTTCTTGTGTCTGATCGGCGTTTTATTTACTTACAATTGGTTTCTTCAACATTTACTTTGCGTTATCATTGTTGGTGGGCGCATTGTATAGTCATTTAATAGCTGAGAGCAGCGGTTGCTCAACGCTTGTTTCATTCTGGACGTGCTTGGTATACTTAATTAAGGTGGTGTAATCGTTCAGAAATCGAGAAGAAGCCTTTACTGCATAAGTTTGATTATTACCGATTTCAAACTTAACGGTTCGTTAAGGGTGGATATTTAACTGCAAAATATGACTCACGTAAGGGGGGGGAATATTACTAAAGGTGTGATTCAAATTTCCATTAGCAATCCAATGATAACTCTTAAGGTGCGGTACTTCATTTCAATTGTAGAAATAAATACCTACACCTGCGTTCAACTACTAAATAAGGCCCGAAATTTAAAATGATATTGTTTGCAACATATGTTTATTTATTTATCTTTAATAATTTTCATTTGAAATGCAATTCAATCTACAACAGAAACCACATAAATAAAATATTTGAAAACTAGTACAAATTTCTAAGTCGAAAAATAATCAAACTTAAAAAATGTTCATTAAAACTTAAAAATTTTT